GTAAAACAATGGACAAGAAACACCTGCACAGGCCTAATACTACTGTGCAGTAAATGGCAGCCATGAGGGAAACTTTCTGCTTGTCACTGTCACGTCCACTGCAGGTGACCCTGGCCAAGACCTTAGCCAAGGAAGAGCTGTTTGAGTGAGTTGTCCGCAGGGTGGCTGCCAGAGGGAAGGCAGAGAGGGCGCCAGCCAGGCGGAGGGAGCACTGGAGGGCAGGTTTACAGTCTGGGCCCTCACCGGCTCCTGAGGGGCTAGCGGAGAACAGCACCCTGAAGTGCCTCGGCTTCTCCCTCATCCCCCACCCAAGGTGCCTGGCAGGCCCGGGCTCTGTGCTGCGGACTCAGGACGCTTCCGGGAGGGGCCATCACCGGCCGGGGGCTCAGAGGTTCCCCTGGGCGGTGGCTGCGCGTCTGTGCTTCCAAGACTCTGCAGTGGGGAGAACAAAGTGCTCCAGTGCTCCAGCTGGGCTCTAGGCTGCAGGCTGTGTGGTGCTGCGGCGCCCCAGGTGCAACTGTTGGTGTCAGTCCTGTCCCCGGGGACCCCGCCCTGAGGTGCTGCCCCCACAGAGGCTGAGTCCCGCTGCCTCGTAGCCGGTGTCTGCGACTTCCAGCATCGCCCTGGGAGGGTGAGACCGGGACAATGGCACAGGGCCCTGCAGCCACAATGGGACGCTGAAGAGGGAGAATCGGTGCCAGGTCAGACCGGCTGCAAACCCACGGTTCCCCTGCGCACTGAGGCTGTGCCCTGCTCTTGTAGTAGCTGCCAGGTGGAGGCCAGGTTCTCAACCAGGGAAAGCTGGCTCAGGCTGCACCGTTAAAGTCCTGGCCCTCACTATTTGTTCATTGACAAGAAAGGCTCGTGCCTATGTTGTTTGATCAGTTGTCAGGCCTGGATCTTGCAATCTGAGCAAATACTTCCAAGATAACAGTACACAATGTATTAACCACTGATACTCTCCTAGTATCTTGATTTGAAATTTTATACTACTGGCTTTATTGCCTTTTCTCCCTCTACTTAAAAAAAAAAAAATACATATATATCTTACCAAAAAAAAATCCGACCCTGGTTCTGTGAGTAGCAGAGCGCTGCCCCACCCCCGGGGAGGCTCAACGGCTGAGCCAGAATCTGATGCTGGCACGCACAAAGCGCGCAGGATGCCGCCCATCACGCAGGGCTCATAGAGGCTCTGCTGGAGTGACTGACCTGTGTGCTGGAGATTCCTGGGGGCCCAATGTGGGCGAGCCGGGCTGGGCAGGCGCTGGTCGGGGTCCCCGGGCCTGACTCCCTATGTGGGTGCCCTTCGGCCTTCCTTGATGCACAATGTCTCACTCCCTCGCCGGCCGTGCCCTCCCTCTGTGTCCCCTCACCCCTTGCTGCCGTCACCCCTGCTTTGAGGCTCTTTCACCACCGGGCTTCGGGTCTGCAGCTCCATGCTCTGGACCCTCAGTGCCAAGCAGAGCCAGGAAAGCTTTCTGGAGCTTAGGTACAGACACAAACATGAAGCCTGCCCTCTGTGTCAGCCTGTGGGACAGAGGCTGAAGGGCACGGTGCCACCCAGAGTCGCCCGCCGCGTCCGGGCCCACGGCCCCCATGTCCACTCACACGCTCAGGATCAGAGCCCCAGCTCCATCTCTTCTCTGCTTCAGTGTTCGGCCGGCACCGGAGGAGCCCTCTGGTGTGCGCTGGCATGGCCAGGGCCCGCCCTAAGGCTGGCTGAAGCAGTTTCCGTGCAGAAGTCAGAGCTGGGGGGAGGACAGGGTGCGGGGGAGGTAATGGCAGCTTTGCTTCATGGGGACCACGCGCTTGAGGCTGCAGGTGAGCACCCCCAGAGCAGCAGCCTCGCCTTATTCACATAACCTGTCACATCCGGGAACCTGGCAGAGGGGCGTCTGAAGCAGACAGGTGGGACGCACGTCAGGATATTAGCCTCTGTGGAGATCGCACCAAGGCTGACGGGTCAGTTTCAGCAGAGTTTTCATAGCACCCAAAGTGCTCTGCTCTGGAACACACCACCGGGAAACGCCAGGAGGGGCGGGGTGAGCGGCATCCGGCTCGTGTTCTGGGGATGGGCAACGTGGATGTCCACTGGACGCTTTCCTGTGGCTTTCAGAGAGCAGTGGTGCCTGGTGGTGTGAGTCACCGTCTGCCCAAACCCTGGGCCACAGCCCTACACTGCGGGAGCCGCGGGGCCCACGAGTGGGACTGCTCCTCTTTTCTGAACCATCCTCCTCCAGGGATTCACACCAGCTCGCAGGTGTGGCGTGCCCTAGCCTAGACGGGCGAGGTGTGCTTTTGAAGACGGCATTCACAGCCTGGTAGAACTTTTCCTTGTTTCTCTTGGCACCAGGATCCCTACAGCACAATGACAAATCAAGGCCCTCAGGGTCAAGAGGACCTGAGTCCCCTGGGCCTCTCTGCCCTGCTGGAACTTTCTGGGCGCTGGGTACGGCGTCCCCTGTGCTCGCCATGGTGACTGTCCTGGGCAGAGTGCATCTCTACGCAGGCACAGCATGTGGCTCTGCAGCTGCAGGGGGGCAGGCAGGGCTATGCAGTCAGAGTGGCCCTCTGGCGTCCCCCGCTGTCACAGTGCAGCCTGGGGACTCAGTGGGCAGCTCTGCAGACAGATGTGCCTGCCACACAGTGCGGGTGGAAGGGCAGCACCCTTGGGAGCACATGGCCCAGAGCCCCATGGCCCAGCCACCCACGCCAGGTGACTGCCCAGGGCCTGTCCTCGGAACGGGCTGGGCACCATCAGCTGACAGAATCCGTCAGAGATCAACCGAGCACACAGCCTTCCGCTCTCGCTTGCCCAACGATGCGGGCGTCCTGCGTGCGGGCGCTGGTGCTACAGGAAGGCTGCTTGGAAATACTTCCTGCATTCCTGGGTCACAGGCATTTTAGACTCTCTCAGAGAGGCCCACGGGCTGTTTTTAGAACATTCCTACCTGTTTGTTTTTCTGCTGATGCCATCAGCCTGGCTTTGAACTCACTAGCACCCCATGCTGGCCTCAACGTCCTAGCAATCCTCCTGCCTCAGCCTGCAGCATGGTGGGTGACCAGAAGGCTTTTATGCTCATTGTACATACTGACAGGGTTCAGCATGGCAGTCCCATACTTACCCACAGCAGGCGCTGATCAGATCCAATAGCCTCCACCCCTCCCCTTCCCAGGCCTTGGTGATCACTGTTCTCATTTCAGGCTGAGGTTTCTGGCTCCCGCATACTCAGTGCTTGTCTCTGTGCCTGGGTTATTTCATGTGACCTAATGGCCCCCAGTTCTGCCCACTCCTCTTAGTGGCTGAATAGTACTCCACTGCACGGAAAGGTTGATTTTTGTCTGCCTATCTGCTGGCAGGCACCAGCTGACCCCACAGCCTAATGTCCCCACTGTGTGAGGAGTGCAGTACGCAGGGGCATGCCAGGCTCCTCACGGAAGCCTCAGTGTCCACGCACAGGGCTCTACCTGCCAGCCTTTGTCTCCAGTCGCTACAAGCAGCTAGCACTTGCTGAAGCAGAGGCACTGCAGGGAAGGCGTCGAGAGCCCAGCGGCCCAGGTGTAACCCTGATTCCACTCCAGAGGGCAGGGCCGGGGCAGCCTGAGCAGGCATCCCGTGCTGCCCTCGCCTGTCCAACTCCTTTCACCCCTCTGCTACCACTTCCTGTCTCTTGCTTGGGAAGGGGAGGCCACCATAGCCACAAGTTCCAGAGATCATCTGAGGATAGGCCAAGGGGCAGAACTCCAGGGCTGTGCCCTCTTGTCCCAGGACAGGGACAGGGACATACCTGCCACCTTCCACCTGCCCCAGGAGTCCCAGGGCCACAGGAAATAAGATGCAGAAAGACAAAGACTGCCTCCTCTGTCCTTGCAAGGAGGAGTGGCAGTGTTGAGCCTGGGGGCAGGGAGCAGCTTGGAGCTGGATGGAGCTGAGCAAGCTTTCGGGAGACCCCACGAGTCAGTGAGGCTAGAGGAAGAGAGCTCTGCTGCGTAGTGTGTTGGCTTTAACCTGCTGCATTCTGGAAAGGTGCTGAGAGGACGGACACAAAGTGTTCTTATCACAAAGACAAGGCCATTATGAGGCCAGGCAGCTGGCCTCGGTTGTCCCACAGTGTTCACAAACTTCACAGGGTCACACTGTGCACAAAATGCACCAATTGTGTCTGTAAACAGCAGAAGTAAAAATAAAGCTAAGCCTTGAAGACAGGGAGCACGGTGACCCAAGCACAGCGCGTGCTAGGAGACCAGGAGCTAGCATCTCCTCTGCCCTCAGACTCCCAGTTGTACCACGGCCAAGCAGGGCAGTCCAGGTATGGTTTGCCTTGATAATCAGCAGCCTCTGGTTTTTGACTGTCGCATGTTGCTCTGTCATGAAGGCAGGTGAGGGCTGGGGAGATAGCTTGGCGGTCTAGGTGCCTGCCTGGCAAGGACAAGGACCCAGGTTCAATCCCCGGTACCGCATGCGTTGTTGGCACATGAACCCCAGGCACCCTGTGCTGGCACCAAAGGGAAGAGGTGAGACAGGAGGATCATTGCAAGCCAAAGCTGTGTAGTGAGACTCTGTATGCAAGAAAGAGAGACAGAGACAGAGACAGAGACAGAGACAGAGAGACAGAGACAGAGAGACAGAGAGAGAGAGATAGAGACAGAGAGAGACAAAGAGAGACAGAGAGAGAGATTAAAAAAAGGCAGGTGAGATGCGCTGGGACGAGGCATTCAGGGGCTTCCCTGGCTGAGAAGATCTGAGAATCATGAACACATATGTTGCCCTTTGATGCATAAAAATGGTGTGAAAGTCTCAGCACCAGAGACAGTGCCCTCTCCCCGTCCCTCCATCCTCACACATCGCCGTGGAGTGATCTCTCTGGCTTCCCCTCAGAAAGTGTGAGGAGCGACACTGACAGGGCAATGCCATGCTCTGTTCTCAGCGCCTCGTGGGGAGGGTGACAAGTCCTTCTTCCTCTAACGTGGGGCTTTTTGTTTGTTGTTTACACACCCAGGACCATCTCAGCTAAGACTCACCATCAGGCTGTGAACTTCAACATCTTTGAGGGCATGGTGTGCCATGGGGTGCCGCTGGTGACAATTTCAAGGGGCAAAGTGGTGTACGAAGCTGGAGCACTCAGCGTCACACCAGGACATGGGAAGTTTATTCCACGCAAACCATTTGCTGAATACATTTACAAGCGGATCCAGCAGCGAGACCAGGTGAGTCAGTGACAGTGGTGCAGTGGCAGCTGGACTGCCACCCGCTCTGGGCTCCTCTCCTCTAGCACGTTGATGGTGGGAGCCATTTCCAGCAAATAGTGGCATTCGGCTACTTCCCGAGGGACTGTGTTTCCCACCACACACTGATGAGCCTATTCGATTGTCTCCTGGTTCCAGCTCATGGTTAGTCAGGGACCTCCAAGAAGCACCCGGATGAGAAAGGTGCAGGATCCTATGGGGAAACCCTTGGAGAGGCAAGGGGAGGGAAACAGCAGAGACTGGAAGAGCTCATGAGTGTCATCCAAGTGTGACCCAGGGAAGGAAAGGAGAAAACATGGAGAAGAAGGAACACAGACCTATGCAGACTGGGGTGAGGGGGCGTTGAACCAGACCTTCTGTGAGTCTTGCCCAAGCCTCCTGTCAGCTGGCCAGAGGTGGTGCCCTTTCATTGGCTGGAGCAACTGTGGGAGGCATGGCCTGTGTGCAGTCCATGGGTTCAGAGCCGAGCCTCAGTCCCTTGAAGAGTGGGGTGCCTTGGGGAAGGGTTGCGAGGCACATCCTGTGACCACTGGCCAGTAGTGGAGGAGGCTAGTAGCTGAAAACATGTGCTCCTTTGGCTTCTGGTCATATCCGGGTGCCAAGAGCAAGCTCTCAGCCCTCCTTGGGCTCAGTTTCCTCATCTGGATAATGAAAGCATTTTCTCCCAATGCATCATGAAACTCAGGTAAGACTTTGACAATGGAAGGCCCAGTAGCAAGTCGGTGTGAACCCCGTCTCTGCTTCCCATTTCCACCACTGCACTGGTAACAGAGCCTCTCTTTTACTTCTCTTCTAATGGTTTGTGAATTTTGTTTTGCTATAGATTATCAGATCCCATTACATGAGATTTCTCCCTTTATCAAGGCTTCCAAAAGCTTTGATTGAAAAAACAAGCGCTCTAGAATGCTTTCAATTCAATGCTACAATCCTTTATATAATATACTTATATCAACATTGATGGTGTTGGAGGTTACAGATCATTTTCCTGTGGGGCTCATTTCTAAATATAGACACAGTAGGTGACAAGTGGGTGGAGCCTGTGAGGATTCTAGGAGTTTCTGAACCCCTGCACAGTAAACAGCAGCAGTTCTGAGCTGTAATGAGCACTTCCTGTGTGCAAGGCTTCTCACCAAGGGCCCTGTCACAGCGACCCTGCAGGGGAAAGAGGTGCTACCGCCCTTGTTTTAGAGATTAGGCCACTGAAGCTTCAAGAATTTAACCAATTGGTCTATGTCACACAGCTGGGATATAGCAACAGAGCATAGCCCTGGCGATCTGGCTCCCAAAAGTGCATACCTGTGCAATCGGCTCTACAGGAATCTGTAAAGACTAAGTTAAATGAGGTACTAAGAGATAAATCATTCAGCATAGTTTTGGGGAAAAAAGACTTTCAAAAATTTAATCTGAATTGAGGTGTTGATGACAGCGGGTTTCATTTGTAGTCCAAGGAATGAGTAGAAAGGATGGAGCTGGGGAATCCTAAGGAGATAGCATCACTACCGATGGGTGGAAGATAACCTTAATACTTAATCCATCTCGAAAGGGGTGGAGGGCGGCTCGAAGTGGTCAGTTCCAGCCTTCTGCCAGCAGGGACGCTAGACTAACTGGGAATGGAGAATGGGCTGTGTTTGAATGGCTGACTTGGCCCAGGTCATCTTCTCCTAGGAAAATATTCTCAGCCTCCAACATCACTCTCGGACTGCTCTCCTCAGTTTTCTGTTTCAGACTGTTTTATGTCTTGCTGTCAGAGTTAACGTCAACTGTATCTTTATGTGTTGACTATCAGTGTTTGAATTATTTTAGTTTTGTAATGTTTTCCTCTGATAAATTCTAGGCATTTTAGCACACGTAAGAAACAATAAATAATAATTATCACTTACAAAATGTTCTGGGAACTTGCTGCCTTCCACTGGGCCCTGTGTTATGTAGTTTATGGTCATTTGGGCAGGGCAGAAAGGTGGTAGTTATTATCATGAAATACAGCACATGTCCACATGGCGCTACTATGATTCTTATTTCACAGACTAGAAGGCTGAGTCTCAAAATTAATTCATTTCCTGGGGCTGCAAAGTAAGTATAAGAGCCAGGACTTGTGATAGATCTTTCTGATTCCTGCTGTACAATGAGTCCTCTGTAAAGAAAAGAGAAAAAAATAGCCATGAAACTCAAACCATTACTTTGAAAATGTTGTAAAATAAAAAGGGTAAATTGAAATGAAGTTTAGGAATTGTCTGGGGGTGTTTTAGAATCCTCCTATCTACTGAGTTAGACAAAGATGTTTTATAAAATAAAAATATAGCATGAGCATTAGATTCAAGTTCACAGTCTTTTCTTTGATTTCCATCTGGATTACTGAGGCTTCTTGCTCAGCAGGTACAGCTTGGTGGCCAAGTGTCTGGTTAGCATGCTTAGGCCTTGGGCTCAGGCCCACCTGCCAGACAAACAAGCTCCGCTTGCTGTGTGAGGGGCATTAAGAGCGCCTCGGCAGGTAGAGGACAGTGTTTCTCTCCCTTTTTATCCTGTCCGAGGAAATTCCGCCCTTCCCATTGCAGTGCCAGAAGCCCAGGCTTAGCACTGCATCAGCGTGTGCAGCGCCAGAACTCAGTGGTGTCCTGGCCAGAGTCTCAGGCCCATGAGGACAGCAACTGACCCTTCCTTGGTGCATGGCAGGCATGTGAAAGGATACTGAGCCAGAAATTAGGGAACACAGGCTGGCATTTCAGGGGAGCACAGAGGAAAGTTACATAAATGTACCCAGAAGGTTGCTGCCCCCCTGCCTCAATGGTGGGCTATCTGTATAGTGGGCTATCCGTGAGCACAGTTCTTGTCAAGGACCTTGTTACTTTGTAAATCTAACAGCATCCTACTATGTGGTCATCACTTACTGGCTGTTAGGAAGCATTTCAAAAGAAGCAAGAGATATTTTTATGCTGGGACATTGTTATAAAATTTAGCTAGTGGATCTTTAAGGGAAAAAACCCTTTAAATCAGAAGATGACACATTGGGTCTTATTTGATAAATTTTAAATGATAAGACATTTTTACCTTTTAAAGAAGAGTGTTAAAGGAAAATAATGAGACATAGAAGGGAAGGAAAAAAGGAACAAAAACTTTGATATTTCAGGAGATTCCTGAAAGAACAAACCTGCATACTCTCAATTCTTTATCTAGCAGCGTACAGCGCCTCCGATCCAGGTAGGCTGCATTCATGGGAAATTTGTATGATTCTGATAAGGACTGCCTCCAAACTTGCAAAGCATGGACTTTCTTTAACTTATTCTTGAGGTCATCTCTTTTTCTCTTTTTTCAGCAATAAGCAGCTCCAATGTCTTCTGGAAAAATACCAGTCACACTGCAGTTTATGGAGAACAGGAAAAGCCTGGAGGAGTGGCACATGGCTTTAGGGTACCGCTGCCAGAGCTCAGAGACTGGGCCGCGTCTTTGCAGGATACGAGTACTTTGCCTCACAGATAAAATCGAGTGGATGGCCAGCATGGTCCTTGAAATGGGCACTTTCTATTTCTGAAATAGTACTTTGTCAGTGTCCTTCTCAAGGTGGAGGCTCAGAGGAAAGTAATTTAAGACATGTCAGCGGCTGCCAGTGTAGCCCTAGTTCCCCCAGATTGATTGCCAATCATGATGAAAGGCAAAGTGCTCGCTGGACTGACTCTCTTGCGCTTACTGGAGACGCGGGTCTGCCCAAGACCCTGCTCAGCAGAGCAGCAGCGTCTGGCCGCTTGAAATCAGGCAGAGTGGGAGTATTCACACTGCAGAAAGGTAGGCCAGGGCTGCAGGCCAGGGCTGCAGGCCAGGACTTGGGGGTGGCGAGAAAAGGCAGAGCAGCCTGGTTGTCCCTCTCCCCGAGTCCTGCTGGGCAGGGGCTCTTTCCGAGTTGAACATCCCTAATTTGAATTCAAATCAGTGAGAGCTGGAAGGATGCTTGCGTGTTTCAGTCAGGTGCTCAGACCCTGACTGGTAAAATGTGTGCACATACCCTGCGGTTGGACGTCTCCCAGATCCAAAATGCTTCTCATCTCAAACATTATGAGAAAGGGATACTTACCCTGCAATCCCTTGCTATGCCTAGCTATCATTCAAAATTTATTCCATTGATACTTACTGATTACCAATTAGGTTTCAACAATTCTTACAGTAATCCTGGGAGATAAACAGGCTGCTCCTGTCTTACTGACTCAGAGGCCGAGGCGCACAGAGGCCACACTGCTTCAGAGTGGCCATCGGCGATCACAGCCAGGTTCCTCTACCTCACGGGCAGGGACCCTTCTATCACGGCCGGGGCCGCGCCTGTCACCTAGCTCACTTCAGCTCACACGCACTTACCACCTCCCACCTACCCACAAGGACACCCCCCAACCCCTCTCTGCCTACGGGCTCACTCACCCAAGAAGCCAGGCCAGACATGGGGGCCCAGCTCTGTCTGATGTCCTTGAAAAACAGCTCACACAGTGTTTTAAGGATCAAAGGCAGATGTTTGGTGGCCTAGAGTGCGTCATCCATGCCCACATTTTCATTATTCTAGATCAGCTCTGTTGAACCAGGGGAAGCGGGGGGTGGGAGGGCTGAATCCTGGTGATGCTCAGAGCCAGGGTGGCTCAGGTCAGTGTGGACTGGGATCCCTGGAGATCACCAGCCAGGCACAAATTCCATCTCAAGGAGCTACCATTTATTTGCGCTATTGGACGTCAGGTCAGCATTTGGAATGTGGACCATCAGCTGCCTTTATTGGTATTTTAGCATCTCGGCCCCCATGGGCAGCCTTGTGTCAGTCGTGCCCTGAGGCTCTGGGGACTTTCTGTATAGGCTGGCTATTTTTAGAGAATCTAGCATCCCAGCACTCTCTTGGCAGACAGTAGCGTCAAGCTTTCTCTCACTGTGCAGCTCGCTGTCCTCCTGATCAGCCAGCTGAGAGCACTGCTGCAATGAATCAGCTCTAATGCTGGTCACGAAGAATGTTTGTTCACAGTGACACACATGACATGAGTCTCATTCATATCTATTAACTCATCACAGTGACAATCGTCACTAAGGACTACAAACTGGAATTGAGCTTCCATCTGCTAAAGTAATTACTGTGCCGGCGTCCCACCATGGGAGCTGCCACCTGCCCCTCTGCATTAGGACAGCCTCGCATGTAGTGTGACCCCAGCCTAGCTTGCCTGCCCTAGGTCCCTTCCCAGTGGAGACCGTTGCTGTAAAGCTAGATCTGCTCATCCTGACTAGTGTGTCGGGGTGGGCAGATGGTGAAGCCCAGATCGACCTTCTGAAGATGCACTCCTGAGCAATTAGGGTCTTGAGGTCCTCTTTGAGGAATTGTCAATACTCCTAAGTAATGTTACCCTCAGTTGCACATACATTTTGCAAATGTCTGTCGTGTACCAGGTAGGATTCAGGGTACTGGGGACGTAGGCATTGGTAAGACGCAGCCCCCGACCTCGAGGACCTCACGCTTGGCCTAGCATGTTTCATTCTAGTTCCCGGGGCTTAAGCCTAAGTTCTGCTTGACACATGTTTGTACCTCAGTGCCTAATTCAGCAAGCCTCTTAGATAGAGGGATCTGGGTACAGGAAGAGACCAAGACTAAAGATGAAGCAGAAAATCATCACACACAGATTTAAAACCCCTCATCTGGGGCCACCAGAAGACTGTGCAAGAGGATAAGGAGGCCTTCAGAGGGAGTGTGGGGTCCACCAAGTCCAGAAAAGTAGAAACCAGCAAGGGCAGGACAGAGACATCACCCAACACCCACGACTTAACAAGGACATCTTTATTTTGGCTCACAGTTACCACGGTTTCAGGGTGGTGGCTCCAAGGCAGGAACAGCGTGGCAGAGGTGCCTGATGGATGAGAACCGCTCACAGCACAGCAGACAGAGCAGAGAGACAAGGGAGGAGGTGGAGAGGGAGATACACCCTTCGGGTTGGGTCACACCCCGGCCAGGCCCCGCCTCCCGAGAGCAAATCCACCACAGCCTGACCCTGCTCCGCAAGCCCCTCCTATGAGCCCCAAGGCTTTGGGAGATCCCCATCCAAGCCACAGCAGAGTCTCAGAAGGCAGAAGGAAGAACCCACTTACTTTGACCCAAACCTGCCTGATTCCTCATCCTGGTCTTTCTGTGTTCTGCTATCCTCTCCGCACTAAGAATGCTTTCAGCCAGTGGAGTTGGGGTGGAGTGTGTGTGGCCACCATATTCAGCAGGAGACTGGAGAAAGAAACCCACTTTATGTTCCCCAGGTCACTCGTACTACCCCTGGGCATTGTGGGCCCACCACAGGCTGGCATCCATGGCCACCCTGGCACTTCACACTCCACATGGAAATCTGCCCTTGTTGCTAGGGAGAAGGGACAAGAGTCCTTTTCTAAGAGCAGTAGGTTAAGTGTACTTCACAGACAAATGTCCCTTGGGTGAAACAGCCTGGCTGGTTAGGATTCAGCAGCAGACAGCCCTCACTCGCCACCTGCTGCGGCACCACCTACCGTGGCTCTGATGCAGGCAGAGGACGGGGCCGGGGTGCTCCCCACGGAGATGAGAGGATGGGAGCCCACGGGGTGCTACCAGCTGCCTCCAAGGAGCAGCACACAGTGGAAGGCCTGAGCCAGGGCCTTTGACGGCCTTGGTGCCTGTCAGCTTCTTCTCCTAGCAGGGCATCTGGAGGCAGGGCAGCAAAGGCTCAGGCGCAAGGGCCTTAGGGCCTTGTGGCCGTGTGGACAGTGTCTTGTGGCCGTTCTGGGAGGCAACCAGCCCTGACCCATAGGCCTTGGAGGCAGGCGGTCAGCGACACTGCGTGGTGGTGAGAAGCAGGATGTGCAGTGTGAGCAGGACAGCCGGGTGGATCCACCTCGCTCCAAGCCACACCACGGGCCGCTGCATCTGGCAGTCTAAGCAGGCCGGAGGAGCCCCAGGACTGCTTGTTATTTGTCTGTGTGCGCACGAGTGGGGGTTTGTGTTGTGTATCGGGCGTGATGCTAGGTGCTCTCTTACGCCGAGTGAAGCTCCCCACGTCTGGTCCTCCTCACCCCCTGTAATGTAGGTGATTTTTCTCATCCGGTGTAAAGCTATGGGAGTCTGGAGCACGTGGTAGGCAGGCGACCTGGCCACAGAGCCCAGGCTGCTGACCCCAGGGCCTGAGCCTCTGGCTGCAGATCAGTTCCAGACACATGGTTCAGTTCCCGCTTGCGAATCCCTTGGCTTCTCCAGTCTACTTGAGCCCTGGGTTCACTCCTTGTGAGTTTGGGGGAGGATTCTGTCTCCAAGTGGACCCTAAGGACATGAGATTCTGCAGGAGGCCTGAGGCAGAGGCCACCAACACAGGGACACACACATACTAGTTGCTATAACTTGTGGCCAAATGCTGGGAGAGCAAAGCACTATGGGAACATGACCAGCTAGGCTGGAGGCCAGGAGGAAAGGTAGAAGGTTAGGAGGGCTGGAAGGGTGGTTAGGAGCCCCAGGCAGAGGCCCTGAAGAGACCTGTACACTCTGTGAGACACAGCTCAGCACCTACACAGAGGGTAACCCAGAGACATCAGGTCCCTCAGAAGTCCTGGGAGAGGGGACAGAGGGGATAGCGTGATTGGCACACAGTGAAAAGAAAAAGTGTCTTTTTCTTTTCTTCTGTCTGTCACAATTCATAAGGGAACTGTCCCTAGCTGTGAAGTCAAGCAGTCAATAATCCACAGAGGGAACTGAAATGTGCTGTGTTTCAGACTTGCACACCTACCCCCGTGAAGCGGGCGCCCTACGAGGGAGAAGTCATCACCCTGACATGCAGAGAGGCACCGGAGGACTCCTCAGCGGGGACCCAGGCACAGGCGGCTCCCTGATCCGGGTAAGGGGCCGTGGGCAAAGTGCTCCCAGGTCAGCTTCAGCACATGGGGCCAGGAGCAGGAAATCAACGTCTCCGTCGTCACAGGATTGCAGAAGTCCAAGGTCAAGAGCTTCAAAGAGAAGATTCAAGGACAGCTAGTGGCAGGGAGATGACAAAGCTTTGCTGATGCAGCACAGGTGGTTGGGCCTCCAGGGAGAGTGCCTGGGCTTGCTGGAGCAGGCTGTCTAGGGCCTTAGGAACTCTGCTGTGAGCAAGAAGCAGTAGGCCAGCAATGGGCACAGGGCCCCCTGCCGCACTCTGAAAACAGGGCCGCCGTGCAATCTGTGACGGCATGCATGCAACAGTGGGCACTGGAAATGCAGACACAGTTGTGATCTGGAACTTAGAATGCGCCAGAAGCAAATCAAGTGTTGCTTTTATATTTATTTTTATTTATTTATTTATTTATTTGCAGAAACAACCAGGGAACGAACGCACGCCCCCGCCCCAGCCAAGCAAGCACTCAACCGACCCAGCCATCTCCCCAGCCCCAAGCATTGCTTTTAGGGATATATTTTTTCAAGAAAATTATTTGACATATTTTATTTCCCTTTAATTTTTGAAATAATGTAGATGTCATTGTCGCAGAGATGTGACCATGCGCCCATGTCCTCTCGCCTTGGCACACGTGGACCTTGGTCTTCCGTAGTACTCACCATCACCGCTCCAGACGCTTTTTTTTCCTTCAGTGGTCCTGCTCAGGCAGGTGCCCACCTAACAACGGCCGCGTTGCTATGGTTTCACTTCCCAGTTCTGGTGGCTTCGTAACACCTATGTTTGGTTCAGATGGCAATTTCACTAGACTCGGGATGCCTGTTGTAACGCATCACGTGATTTCCGAGGTTGCCGCTGTAGCGCTGCTCCATCGCCCGGCGCTGGGAGCCCGCCGGCTGGCATCTGTGGGGAGCAGCAGCGCCACGTGACAGAGGTCTGGTTTTCCACACACTCGAGCTTCTATGCCTGACAGCTCCTGGGACCGCCACTCACCCCATGACGCAGGGGTGAGCGCAACAGACGCTTAGAAACAAAGGTCCCCAGGTCCCCGCAGTTGCTGGACGTTGTCCATCTTTAATGCTGCTCTGTAACTTCCAGGTCCCGGGACTCATCCAGCTCAGGAGCATTTGAGCCAAGTTGGGAGGTGAGTTAGCCTGCTGTCCCTGCTCTCATTCAGGGTGTTGACAGGAGTGCAAGGTCGAGCTTAGCACGCCCGGCCTCTCTCTGGAGGAGCGAGGTCCCTGAATGCCTCCATGCTCTTCACAGGTGAAATCCGAGGGGAAGGCGCCTCGCTCCGCTCGGGGAGCATCGTGGGCTGTTTCGGCGCCTGTTCCCTTCAGGAAACTCGCCTCACCTGGCCTCTCCGAGACGCCCTCTCAGAAGCGATCACTGTCTTCCTGTGCCTCTGTGGCTGTGGTGAGACTGAAATGGAAACGAGTGTCACCGCCCTGGGACATCTGCGTGACAGCTCCTAGACAGGACTCAGATGCTGTCCTTGCCTGCACTAGTATATTTTTCTCTGAAATTTAAAAAATCACTTTCTTTCTTGTTTAAAGGTTTTTAAATGGCTAATTTGTTTTAAGCCAGCTCTGTGATTTTGCCTTTGAAGGATTTAATAAACCTTGAGACCCTCATCATGCACTGTCCTCTGAAGCACGTGGGTGTCCTCACTGGTGACAGGGAGCCCTCCAGAGAATGAGGTTTCTAGTGTGCTCTCTGCAGGACTTCTGCTGGGAACCAGGTCCTTGACAGACTCGTGTGCTCAGTCGGGCGCCCACCAGGGAGGCGTCCAGGGCGAATGAGCCACCCGCTGGCTCCTGGGGCTGCGCCCCTCTGCCTGCCCCCTGCCTCTCTGTGCAGGGCTGAGCTTGTCTCTTCTTGGGTTTGACATCAACAGGGGGTTTCAACACAAAGCCAGGTTGGGACTGCCCTTGCCTAGGAGCTGGCCGAGGATGCAGCAGCTCTTGTCCCAACCCTCACGCCCCCCTTGAGGAATGGCCTCTGGGACTCTGGGAACCAAGGGGGCTACTGTACCAGGGGTGGATGGTGAGGAAGCGTTGCCAGGTGTTGTTTGGCCTCACAATAAGACCTGGTCTCCACCAGACCTTTGGCTTTATTTAATGAAGCCTTAGATAAGCCCGGCGGATACAGAATGCTAGTACTTGCTGGGCTCTTATTAGGGGCTGGACAGAACTGAGCTCTGCATAGACTCAATCGTTTACTTCTCTGCAGAATGGTGCCGCTCTTATTTAACAGATGAGAACGCGAAGGCGGGGAAAGGAGAAATGATTGCCTGAAGTCACCAGGTTAGCAGGTGACCCAGGGTGTCACGCAGTCAGCCCAGACCACTGGAGCACATTCTGTAGGCAAGGTGAGGGGAAGAGCCCACTCCAGAAGAACGTGGGCTAGCACAGCGTCACCTGCCCAGCACGCAGTCCTCTTGTGCATACTGGGAATGGGTCAGATGGGCCACCGTACTTGTCCAGGCCTGGTTCACGTTATCGTCCTCACAGTATCTCCCCATGGCTGCCATCTTGAGGAGGGAGGCTCATTAGTTGTGACCTCTCAGAGCCCAGATCTTGTCCCTGGAGGACTTGGAAAGGGACTGCAGGGAGAACTTAGTCTTTGCAGTGCTGTTTCCAGAGCAGCCAGGAAGGTGTGGGTAAGTGCAGACCACCCTTGCCTAGTACTTCCTACGAATACTTCTAAGCAGGAAGAGGAGCAGAAAGAAATGCAGCAGCTGTCACAGAACTCGACTCAGCCCCTCATCAGAAGCCTAGCTTTCAGGCAAGGCCCATTTTCTTGGCGTACTTTGAAGGTTGGGTTGCCTTTCTCCTCTGTATTTTATTGAAAATAATAGGATGCATATTTGATGCTTTAAATCTACAGTTAAGAGCCAAGGTGGGAAAAAGTGGGTGCACAGAATCTCGAACCAGACCGCTAGGGCTCCAGATCTTCCCCTGCACCGCTCGGGCAAGTTGCTCAGCCTCTCCAGGGTCACTGGCCTGACCTAGCAAGACCTAAGGCTTGTAGGATGCATACACAGTATAAGTCTCAGCCAGCACCATGTGGAGCACAGGCAAACCCTCGATCAGCGTCTGTTGCTATCATTTCCTCCAGATCAACAGTTTTGTTGTTCTCCCTCCACGCAGGAGGAAACCACCCAAGGTCCTCCGAGAAACTTCTGGTTTCCTGAGTCGGCTGATGACCACCACCATGCACCAGTTCAGCTATGAAACAGAGCTGAAGCCCAAATAGAAAACCTTTGACAAGCTTCCCTAGCAACTGACTGCTGATTTCCTATTTGTTTGTGGGGCCTCTGACTTAAGGGGTGAGAGCTCATCCTAGGCACTGAGACACCCCAAATTGCATGCACACACACCACAAATAAGAAACCATTGAGAAACAGATCTTGCTGTTTTATTTCCAAGTTTTCTCATAAGCCGATGAGGTTTTATTTCCAAGTTTTCTCATAAGCATATGAGGTTTCCCGGCTCATATACCATTTGGCTTAATTACTGGCGAATGTCAATAATTGAAATTAAAATAGTTCTACAATGAATGCTTTGGAATTTTGTTTCCAAAAAAAGTAAAGTTAAACTGAGTGTTTCTTCCTCATGTCTGCGCCGGGAATGAGAGGTGTGAGCTGTGAGCTGCAAGCTGGGTGAGTCTTCCTGAGTCATGCATCACCAGACTCAGCTCAGATGAGGCATCAGGGCGAGGCAGAGACTTGGGTGGAAGGGCCTCTGGTCTTCACAAAGGAGGCAGCTGCGCCGGCAGCCTGGCCCAGCTCCCCAGCTCCTTCGCCCACTGGGGGCAGCTGAGGGTTGCCCAGTGTCTAAAGGGCTGGGTACTGGCATAAGGAGGACACGGGGAAGGCAGATGTTGGCCCTGCCCCCGGGGAAGAAGTGACATGGACAGATCATCACTAAGCCTCCTCTGCTCATAACTACAGTGCTTCCAAGGATGTAAAATGACAAAGGGAGAATCGCAGAGAATACTGTGGCCTGGGGCTGACTTCCGGCCGGATCTCCTCGCAGCTTCAGGCATGTTCACAGAGGCTTCAGGGTCTAACAGAGTCCCTACACGGCAAGCACTTGGCAGATGCTTCCTAAATATTTGTTCCCATGAACTAGGAGTCGCCATGAAGCAGGGTGACCACAGTTAACGCCCTCTATTCAGGCTGGGAACTCGTATTCTCCCCTGGCTAAGTCAAGCCCCGGCCCGGGCTGGCCCTGGGCTCAGGCTCTGTGAGCAGCAGCTGGGGAGCTCCAGGTCCCTCTTCTGCATGGTGGGTGACTCCGGTGGCTGTGTCCCACTGGTGACTCGTTTCCATGGCAACCCACTTCTTCCCCTAGCTGTTCTCAATCTGCCTTTTTCAAAATCCTAACTGTGTTTACATCCTGCCCTAGGCTGAGGGCCTTAAATGAAGGGAGCAAGGTTTTCCAAAAAAAATGAACTTTGAAAATGCATTTAAGCACATTAAGTTATGATCTTCACTAAAAAAATCCAAACTATAATTTCTCCATAACTTGCTTGCCAAGAGACAACTCTCCTCATCAGTCACCTTCACTGATTCTTTTCCGAAACTATTTTTCCACAAATATGGAAAGCTAGGCCCGGAAACATCTCCAGGAGGAAGCCCAGGCTCCCAATGTGACAGCTGGCTCTCAAACTTCTGCCCAACCCTCTGGTCACTACTACAGCCGGACCGCCACCGTCTCCTGCCCACACTGGTGAAGACCCAAGCTCCATCCCTATCACCCCGAGAGCCAAAGCCACCGTAGACATTTGCTGTGATCTTACCACATTATTTGAGCTAGACCAGGCCTTGCTGTAAGTCTCTGGTATGGTTCTCATCACTTTAATGAGGATGGATGGGTTGATGCCTACCCCGAGCCCGTCTTGCCTCTACCCCAGAGTGCATTTTGACCATGGTCCTTTTCAGCTGTAAACGGTAAGATCTTTCAGAAATACTTGGTTGGAGCCCACTCCTGCTGGTTGAAGGTCACCTTCTCTTGCTGTCAGGTGAGTTTCTAGATCCAGGGTGGACGGGCACGTCTTGGACCTGTGGTGGGTCCTGACCCCTCAGGGCTTACACCCCTGTCCTTGACCTCTCCGTGAGGCTCCACACTTCTGACCATAATAAGTTCAGAAAACCTGGCTGTATTTGAGGGACTGGGGATTAGGCTGATGTCCTCTGTCTGAATTTTTCCTTCAATGTCCACTAAGTCTCCAAGGAGTAGACAATTTTTACTGTGGTGAGGGGGTCACCTCAAGTTCCCTAGAACAACTGTCTCGGATTGCATCCGAAGCACAGTGCCCACGTCTCCTGCCCTTTTTGTGCCCGCATTTAAAGGCAACGGAAGGTATATAAATGCATCCCAGCGGGGCAGCTGCACTGTGACCTACTTGTGCAAAGATACTCCCTAAAATCTGGATTCTGCACTGGCCACATACGGGTGCTCTTTGCAGGGGAGTCTCTAAGCTGGTTGTGCCCTCTGTTGGATAGAATTGTGTCCCTGGAGAAGATAAGGTCACATCCTAATCCCCATTCCTTCAGCTACAGCCAGCTATTGCTATCTATGGCTCCAAGGCTAGGATTCGGCCAACTTTAGATCAAAATGTTTGTTTTTAAAAAATAATTGCCCTTGAGCCAAATCCCTAAGACTTTTTTCTTGTCATTATTCCTCCTCAAGATATAGTACAACTGGTATTCTATGCACAGGACACTTAAATGCATTCGATTTTATGTCACCTACAGATGATTTAAAGCATGAAGAAGGAAGTGTGTGGGAAGCACGCAAACACCATGCTACTTTATATAAGGCACTCAAGGTCTGAGGATCTGTGCTGTTATAGGGTCCTGGAGCAGCCCCTGCAGAGCCTGAGAGGCGCCCGCACAGCCTTATTTAGAGACAGGGTCTTTCAGAGGCAATCAATTCATGTGAGTCACAGTGGGTTAGGTGGGTTCCAACCCAGTCACCACCACCCTGATAGAAAAAGGAGCACTCTGTGCAGAGGAAGAGGCAGAATCAGGGCTATGGCCAGAAAGCAAGGAATGCTGAAGCTGGCCAGAAACTACAGGAAGGTAGAAAAGACAGCAAAAGATATTTCCTAGAGACCTCGAGGAAGCACGGCTCTAGGACATCGCAGAGTTCTAGGCTGTGAGAACTTTAACACCTCTTGTTTTAATCCACCTAGGCTATGGTCTTTTATGGTGGTAGATCAGAAAGTGGAAACATCAGGGGCCAACGAGATAGCTCAGTGGACTAAAACACCTGCTCAGGCAAACTTAAGCAAGCACAGGGACCGAGGTTCGATCCCTGGCACCACATGCCACGTCAGCCCCACCCTGAGGACAGGCTGAGCTGGCCAGAGGCTAGTCATAGAGGCGCGTGCCTGTAATCCCGGTGCTGGGGAAGCTGAAAGCAAGAGGATCGCCACAAGTCCGAGCTGCGTACTGAGAACCTGTAAAAACCAAAATACAAAAGAAGAAAGAAAGAAAGAAAGAAAGAAAAAGAAAGAAAGGAAAAGAGAGAGAGGAGAGAGAG